CCCCCCCCCCCCCCCCCCCTCTCAGCCCCGAAAGCAAGTTTTTCGGGCAAAAATATCACAACTATATTAAAAATTGGAGCAATCTCAGATATTTCGCCCCCCTCCCCCCTCGGGCGTAAACCGATTTGGAAATGGGAGTTAACTTCCCTATTGACTCAAGTTGCAAAGTAAGCAATTCCTCCCGCGTTGATGACGTCAATGCCAAGAGGTTTTGCCGATGACCGTCTGGTAGAAAGGATCCTTTGTTGTTATCCTTGTAAAATAGTGTTGCTTCTTTCAGTTTTGTAATGGATACTTACCTTACCAGAACTTTTTACTCCTTTGATTAAACAGAGAACAACCACAACCCATGATAATAACATACATAATACCAACCACCACAGCGGATAACCTAAATTCTCGGGTTCTAAACCTGCAGATCTCTGGATAACCTCCTCACTGAAAAACCAAAAAGAATCTGTTATTTTCGCTTTAACAGCTCTTGCTGTTGGTCCCTCACCAAGTGTCGAGTGGTTAGTCGGCTAGAGTGTTGGACAGTTGATGTTATGATAAAATCGGTAGAATAGCACCACGACACCGTCGGCGTGAAACTCCTGTGGCCATGAGTAAGACATGGTTCCTCATTCATCATTTGTCCAAAGAAGGTGGACACCTCACCCCTTTTCTCCAAAAGGTTAGTTCTAAAGTTGTATGAGTTTTGTAGTTATTTATCAAAAGTCACCTTAGAACAAAACGCAGTGGCGTATTGGACCATGGCCCTCCCCACACGCCCGTAAAATTTGTTTTTTGAAGTGGAAATTAAGCCATTACGTTCTCAAAATTAATCTCAGGCCACCTGAAATCCTCAGAGGCCCCCTCCTTCAGGTATTTTCTAGATGGGCACCTGACAAAACGTAAAGCATTTCTAAAAATATTCTTGTCTAAAGAACTTCCCTATTGATGCTTCTGATGTGTAACCTTAATCAAACTCGACTTCGAAAACTTGTTGTGCTATCTTTTGGCCTGGTACACTGATTCGGATTATAGACACCTTACTTACTAAAAGAAAAACTCGGCTGCTGATTTCGGTTTACCGGTAAAATTCAATTGTGTACAGTTAGTATAGGTTTCAGCTACCAAATCAATACTGCTATTACCAGTACAACGGCATTCACCAAGATCTAAGTCAAATGTTTCATTCCCCGTGCAATATTCTGGGAATTTAAATCGTTTAGCTATACAGTCTATCCATTCCTGAAACGATAAGAAATGTATTTATAGGTCTGCGTCCTTTTTCTGCTCCTCATTGGGTTAATGACAAAAGTGTCATGTGGTGACATTTATTAGAGCGCTGATTAATAGTGACTTTAGTAAAAGAACATTCAGCGGAAATTCACAGTTGTGTATGGTAGAAAATAACTGCTTTCATTTTTCATTTTGATAAAATAAGGGAATTTCAGAGCCATGTTCTCTCTGGAGTTTCAGAGCCATGTTCTCTCTGGAGTTTCAGAGTCATCCATGAGCCATGTTTTCACTGGAGTTTCAGTGTCATGGTCTCTCAGAAGTTTCAGAGTCATTTCTCTCTGAATCTCCAGAGCCATATTCTCTCTGAAGTTTCAGAGCCATGGTCTCTCAGAAGTTTCAGAGCCATGTTCTCTCTGGAGTTTCAGATCCATGTTCTCTCTGGTGGTTCACGCGATGTTTTAAAGAATTTAAAAGCTAAGGGAAGTAACTAACTTACTGGTTTACATTCGGTCCATGGTAAAGTCGTCTGCATGGAAGCAAAGAAATAGTATAGAGTATAGGCCATGATAACATTATAATATATAGCTACATCTAGTGATATCAGCGCCATGGACATACCAATACCTGCAAATATACAATTTATTAGGTATCGACTCTGACAACAACTAATTACTGCTTCTGAACGATGGAATTTGAATAGGCATGTTTTGTCTTTGTTTGAATAGGCATGTTTTGTCTTTGTTAAAGGTAAACTACTACTTAGGAAGAAAAAAAAACCCAGAATTTTAAATCTTGGGTCAAATGCATCTGTGTTCAAAACTATACAACAGAATCCCTCTATAATCCAATAAATCCAGAAAACTATGTAATAATTCATTTAACTATGTAATTTTGAAATGCTTATTAGAAGCTTATAGTTCCCAATACACCAGGCCACATGTTCTGGAAACGATCTTTCTAGGATGTCCTAGAATCAATGTTAGAAGATAAGAACNCAGGACATCCTAGCGCTAAGATCGTTTCCAGAATAAGTTGCCGGGAATATGATTTTGCAGGTAATGTAACAAACCTTTGGCAGCAGGATTCATTGCCCATACTCCAGTAGGTCCTCGTCCAGAGAACTGACCCATAACCAATTCCATGAAATACATAGGTTTACCAATCACAATCTGTAGGATGAGGTAGGCTATCACAAAGGCAGCTGAAAAGCAAAGATATATGCATATGGATAGCTGAAATTTGGTTAAATTTCACTTGTTTTATTGCACTTCATCACTCTTGGTACTAAGTGTATACCATACACCGCTTCTTCGTGGACGATGTAAATGACACTCATGTACCATAAAGGTGACTCAAAGGGGCAAAAGTCGGCCATTTTGTGAACGAAACTCGTATGCTAACAAGCTTCCACCCTCCCACCGTCTCGCCTTGGATCGTTCAAAGGTACGCGATTAGATATTCATCTGTGACGTTATTTCTTGAATTTGTCAAAATATTAGGCTACTAAACATATCTACCTACCTCCGCCATTTTTGTAAGCTAAATATGGAAAACGCCAGACGTTTCCCAAACCAACTGAGAGACCAATACATGACAGAATAAATTCTACTTTATTTCCCCATTGACCACGATCTATCTCTTCTTCATCGTCCTCGTGATCAGCAGTTGTGTTCGGCTGAGGTAAACTTTCTGCTGATCTTTCATCATTTCTGTTAGAGTAGACATTGCCCTTCTCATATAGCCCCTGTAAAGTGTAAGAAATAAGTCCAATGATAAACAACCCGTCTCTCTAGCATGCAAAGCATTACCTGTATTACTTCTCAATTTTGGATATCATTTAAAGGGAAGCCAAAAAACTTTATTTTTCAGTTCAAACTAATAAATTTATTCCCAAGTCAATACCTTTGAATTTATTTCATTTTATTGAATTAAGTCATTAACTTTTTTCTAATTTACTAGATTTCATCGCATGCTGCCGACCCGTATTCCGAATACACAATCCTCTTCAGGACAGCTCGTTTTGGTACTTGAAGTTTATTATTCAAAAGTTGGACTTGAGGCGAATGAGCAAATTCACTATAATGCATCTACACAATGTCAAGCTATTATAACTGCGTCTTATATCATGACTGCAATAGCCACTTTTCTTGTATCACGTAAGTTTGTAAATGCACCTATTTGATTGGATAGTACGTTAGCGAATAAAGTCAATCAGAGTCCTTGACAGAAAGATGTAAACAATAAGCCATACTGTCTAAGGTCTTCCTATTGAGAGCTCTCATTGGCTGTATTGGCTGACGCATTCCGTGATACGAGAACAGGTGACTGGATATTGCAGTCAAGGTATAAGACGAAATTCGTAATAGATTGACATTGTGAAGATGACTGTACAAGGACATAAAGCACATTTGCATTCATTCATTTATAAGTCAATGCGATGTTTAAAATTTATTTTCTAAGTCATTTCATTTATTTCAAAGTCACGATTTTGATTTGATATTTAAGACAATATCACCCACAACTTAATAATATTGCCGCTTTGGATAGAAATAACAATAAATATATCAAAGAAATGCTTGAATATTGACACTACAGCGAAATATTTGCTTTAGTATTTAATTCCTTTTAGATCTTATCTTTTAAATGTTTAGATATCACTTTTATGTGAATTAATGAGCTTTTTTCACGTATTTGTCATATTTTGATGTATGATCTTTTATTAGTATTTATACTAGAAAATATATCACTTAAGCAAAAATAGCCTGTCATATGCATTTCTTGAGGACAGTGAGAATGATTAACACTATTTGGTCCGGTATGGCGTCAGAGCTACTTAAACCCAAGTCCGAACCTTGTTGGTTGTCCAGTTATCCAACAGTTATCAGATAATCTAACCAAACCAAACCAAACCAACGACTACCATTCAACTAACAAGAACTACCATGATCAGAGTTTCGAAGAATGAAGAAGATCGATTAACTCACGCCACAGTCACACCATCCGGGACCGATTTTCACCGCCATGTCATTCAAACACTACCAGATTTCATAAAGTATCAACAACCAAACCAACAACACAGAATCATTCAATTTAAACCAATTTAACTACTCGCTTTCGGACAAATGAGACGGTTTAATTCTTTAAAATGGAAGGACTGAAATTTACAACCGAAATTTCCTATTAGTCCGATTATCCTTGTCCTTTTTTTTGCCTCTCATAAGATCACAAGGTTCCCACCGAAAAGATTGGTATATTAGCTGCCAGGTGAGAGCGGATTTCTATTTCCAAATATTAGGAAGAGGCAAAAAGCTCGTATTGGGCACGGACAGGAAAGGTGTTGACGGTCTGGCTTTTTTCGTCTTTCTATAATCAGCAGAGGCAAATTGGTATTATAAGATCTATAACAATTCCAGTCGACCCAGCTATAAATGGGTACCGAAATCCTTGAAAAATCATAGGTAAGAGGTTTGGCTAAGTACAAGCTGGTAGAACAGAAAGTCTCCTTTGTGAACGTATTTTTTTTTCTCGACCATTATGCAAGATGGGTGGGACAAGTAACGAAAAAAAGTTTAATATATTCAAATGCCTACTTGAACTTTGAGTGACGACACTTAACAGTGATATTATTCTGTACCGTTTACAGTAGACTTAATATTTGCATCATCTGGTGCGAATTTGGTCTGGAATTGATCGATACAAACGAAAATAGAAGATACACGAGGTACAGGTACAGATACGAGGCGGACACGATTAGTTTCTTCTATTTTCAATTGTATCAATAATCCCGCACCGTACAGCGTACCTTGACTGAGTCGACAAGATCCACTTTTTTATCCAGAAAATAGAGCATGAACAACTAAAGGTAACTTAGGGCCGTCGTGTAGTTAAATCTACAAATTGATCAGAATCTCCTTAGTGTCTTCAGTTGCTCTTCGATTCCTTCATCTGCAAATTTTTTTTTCTTGTCATATTTCAAACACGTGTTTTTTGCTCATCGAAACGTTATATCAAATTGCAGACGCCATTTCTGTTTATATTAATATCTTTAAGTTTGATATTGCGTATGCTGACTGCATGATAAACGTAACCATTGATCGATGGTATGACTCATGTATATTATAATTGTTACGCCCGACCTACCCAGCAATGTCATTCAAAACGTTTAATCGGTATTATAGAGCTGTGTCCTTATATTGAAGACGTGAGGAAAAGGCGCATCCAGTTAAAATTATTTTAAACCCTCTTACGCTTGAGCATGAGCTAAATAATAATTTTACTTCTTAACCTTCTTTGGGAGTACAAACCAACACCACAAGGAGTTTCCTTCAGAAGCTTCGGAGCAATTTCAAAATTCGGTTGAAGTCAATATGAACAGCTCGAAGATTTTGACTGATATTTTGATCACTTTCTACCTTAAAAAATCCGATGTGTATACGGAAAGGAACAATAAATTGTGGTACCTGAGGCCTCTGATAGCTATTTTGAAAGCTGATTACTGTCACAATATCCATCAGAGGCAGATACAAAAAGACTTTCAATGTACCATTCGTGTATGTGGTTTTGAATCACCGAGCGTATGATTTCACCTATCAAAAAGTGACTTTCGTCTTTTGATAAATGGTATGGGACTTGAAAACGTCACATTATATTATGAGTAAATTATGCTTCTTGTCAATGCAATTTTTTTCCCAAGCCAATTACTGTGTAGACTCGATCGTAAGAATTCAATAAAATATCTGTAATTCTTTTGAGAACATTTATATATACACTATGTATTTACTGAAAAATATGTCCACCTATTATTCATCTTGTACCTTTATTATTTATATATATATAGGCCTGGGGCATATACAGAATATCTTTATGTACATATCACAAACTATTTTGATGTAACCTTTTAGTACTCTCTTTTCATAAGCGATTATCATGTATAATTTTCTCTATAATTTGGGTCTCTGTCATTAAATAAAATAATAGAGCAAATCCGGACCATGTCTACCAGGACACGAGTAAGTGCGATTTTTTAGCTATCTGTGATCTGAACAAATTAATAGACCTATAGTTCAAGTCAAATGTCACTGGAGAACACACAAGTTAACGAAAGTGGATAAAATGGGCAAGGATTGCGTCAAGTGATCGATTGAATCCAGGTATTGATCACAAGCTACTACTTGCAGTCGTTGAAAATGCAGTTGATTTTGCCAATCGAAACTCCATTTATTTCATATGTTAGTACTACGATCAACCTTAATCTCCCATATATGATGTAGTAGCCTTACACATAATCCAGTATCACTACAGATTCAAACATTGAATATCATGTGGATGGATGTAAACAAGAGGTTTCCAAACTTTGCCTTTCGGCTCCTTGATCAATTACTTTACCCCCTTCCCCCTTTTATAAATCCTTACTTTTACACACACCCTATAATTCCTTGCTATTTAGTGATTTCTTTTAGGTCTTCCCTGCAATTTTGTCATGTCGGAAAATATATAAACCACAAGTGTAAATCCGTAGTTGGCCGCTAATATTCCGGAGGATGGGGTTGGAAGTCTTGCCTCATATAGCAAATGCCACGAAGTGTCCTCGTGAACTTTAACTAGTTGATTTATGTTAATGTGAAGCTGAGGTGACATACCGGTTAAGGTTAACTCACGTCGAAATTTTGACTCGTTGGTCCAGTTGGGTCACGATGTGTGCATTGCCGGAAAAGGTAACGATTGTGACATCTAGAGAAGACAAAATGGACGCTATGTGACTGCTGCAGTCCAGATAGTGTTTTAAGCTAAGAGCTCCTTGCAGTCTTTGTTATCAAATTGAACCAGAAGCAAACAAGAGAGACCAACAGAATCACTTGAATCACCCATATAAGAAAGAATAATTTAGACGATGAAATGAAATATATTGGAGCTTAACGTCCAAATGTTTCTGCTCCAGATTGAGCCAATGGCGAGGGCGATCTGACATGCTATGAGTCAATGTGACAAAACCACTCACCCATTCGTCATACTTCCTCGGGACCGTGGTGACACAAGTGTGAAGTATTCATAGAAAAATATTTTCCATTCCGATCTGTTGCCCCATCCTTAAGACTAGACGCTCTTTGCATGCCAACCTCTTCGACCTACATGGCGTCCCTATGTATCATTAGGTGAAGGGCCAAGTAGGGACCATAGAATTGTCAAGGGGGACACACAGCCAAGTCTTTCACTATATACAATGATAAAGGCCTCCACCGTAGACAAGCTACTGGCAACACTTACAGGGTGAAACCAGGTTGAAAACGCCGAAGTGACATGGATAAAAGATGTATTTGTGATTGTTTGGTATTTTACATAATCCAATCCCTTCAATTTGCATATGATTGAAATAGGGCAGTGTAACAGTACTCAGTCAAATACCCAATAGAATGAGTAAATAAACCACTTCCGTATTATTGACACATCGATAGTAGTATCATATTATAACTCTGGACTTTTGTATTATTGGTATTTTGATTTGAACGCGGATATTGACTATAAAGATTATTGATAAGATTATCGAAGCTAACAAAACTGCATGTAAAATTTACCCAATTGCATAGTGCATGGCTTTGGGTGTTTTCATCGTCGCCTTCGCTTCTTTCACCCATTGACTTGCAATTGTATTGCCTGTACAAGTGATGTTGGTGAAACGGTAAATATTCGTGGTGAAAGTGATCTCCTGGAAAAGGGTTATCTGTATTATTATACATGTAATACAAATAAATGCAAACTAATTCCAATCTGTAGGATTGGATTTGACCCGGTTCAATGTTTACAATTATAATACAAAGTATATAACTGTAAGTATACGTTATATAAGTTTTAAAAACGTTATGTTATGTATGAAACGTTATATACAGTATAAAACTTAATGAATATTATGAAACGTTATGTAAAGTATGAAACGTTATATAGAGTATAAAACTTAATGTAAAATTTGAAACGTTATGTAAAGTATGAAATGTTATATAGAGTATAAAACATATAGTAAATTATGAAAATTTATATATAAATATGTAAATAATGAAACGTCATGTAAAGTATGAAACGTTATATAAAGTATAAAACTTAATGTAAATAATGAAACGTTATGTAAAGTATGAAACGTTATATAAAGTATAAAACTTAATGTAAATAATGAAACGTTATATAAAGTATAAAACTTAATGTAAATTATGAAACGTTATATAAAGTATAAAACTTAATGTAAATAATGAAACGTTATGTAAAGTATGAAACGTTATATAAAGCATAAAACTTAATGTAATGTATGAAACATTATGTAAAGTATGAAACGTTATATAAAGTATAAAAATTAATGTAAATTATGAAACGTTACGTAAATTATGAAACGTTATATAAAGTATAAAATTTAATGTAAATAATGAAACGTTATGGAAACTATGAAACGTTACATAAAGTATAAAACTTAATGTAAATTATGAAACGTTATGTAAAGTATGAAACGTTATATAAAGCATAAAACTTAATGTAATGTATGAAACATTATGTAAAGTATGAAACGTTATATAAAGTATAAAACTTAATGTAAATTATGAAACGTTACGTAAATTATGAAACGTTATATAAAGTATAAAATTTAATGTAAATAATGAAACGTTATGGAAACTATGAAACGTTACATAAAGTATAAAACTTAATGTAAATTATGAAACGTTATGTAAAATATAAAACGTTATATAAAGCATAAAACGTTATGTAAAATATAAAACGTTATATAAAGTATAAAACGTTATATAAAGTATAGAGTAGTAAAAAAAAGTAAATTGCAGAACATAAATAATGTCCACAGAATAGTAGATGAGTAAAGTTATTTCGATCTGGGATTATGAATAATCATACGTTTAAAGATGACCGAATTATTAGCATAAAAGCTCAAAATGTGGACGATATAGGTGTATTCAATGAATTTAGAAAATAAACAAATAAAATAAAAGTTTTATTAAGATATTATCATACATCTATTAATTTGTGACAC